GTATCGACACAAATTTAAAAAGTGTCGATACATTATGTAGACATATTTTCTCATAAAACCGGTATATTTATACCGGTTACATTGTAAATTTACCCATTACATTATAATTATCGGTTTCGATGTTTTTGGGATCAATACATTTTTAAATGTATCGACACTTTATGCGTGAACCTCGTTGGGCATTCATTCTGGACAAAATGTATCGACACAAATTTAGAAAGTGTCGATACATTATGTTGACTTATTCTCTCATAAAACCGATATATTTATACCGGTTACATTGTAAATTTACCTATTACATTATAATTATTAGTTTCGATGTTTTTGGGATTGATACTTTAATAAATGTATCGACACTTTATGTGTGCACCTAGTTTGTCATTCATTCGGGACAAAATGTATCAACACAAATTTAGAAAGTGTCGATACATTATGTTGACATATTCTCTCATAAAACTGGTATATTTATATCAGTTACATTGTAAAATTACCTATTATATTATAAGTATCAGTTTCAATGTTTTTGGAATCGATACTTTTAATAAATGTATCGACACTTTATGCATGCACCTAGTTTGTCATTCATTCTGGATAAAATGTATTGACACAAATTTAGAAAGTGTCGATACATTATGTTGACCTATTCTCTCATAAAATCGGTATATTTATACCGGTTACTTTGTAAATTTACTTATTACATTATAATTATTGGTTTCGATGTTTTTTGGATCGATACAATTTTAAATGTATCGACCTTTTATGTTGACCTATTTTCTAATTAAACCGATATATTTCTACCTGTTACATTGTAAATTTACCTATTACATTATAATTATTGGTTTCGATGTTTTTGGGATCGATACAATTTTAAAAATTATCGATACATTATGTTTACTAATTTTGTCATTAAAAAGTGTATTTTTACCACTTACATTGTAAATTTTGCATATTACTTTAAAGTAATAAAAGTTGAATTTTGTAGTTATTGTACATACCTAAATATGTCATACGAAATTAATGTTGTACCCACCCTTCAACTACCACATCCTATTGAAAGAACCACTGAAACATGTTGTTCTATGAACCTCTACTTACATCTCCATCAACTCTTGTTGGGACCACTAAACTTGCCCAACCAAATTTTTGCCATATGGATCATACTGCATCAGACAATGTTAAGCCAACCGAGGAATGCCATGAAGAACTTATTGTTGATGAATCTGACAGATTGGTTGGTCAGCTCATCTCTCCACATTATCAAGCTTGGAACTTTTACAAGGGATTCACACGGGAACATGGTTTTAGTACACGTCGAGGAACAACACGGCTTGATATGGAAGGGAATATGAAGACACAAGAATTTTGTTGTTCCAAAGAAGGGTTTTGAATATCCAAAGTCAATAATGTTGATTGTCAACATGCTCATATGACAGTCACAAGAACAGGATGCAAGGCTAAAGTCGTAGTTACAGAAAAAAATATAAAAGATCAATGGGTTGTAAGTAAGTCTTCTCAGAAACATAATCATGCATTGTGCACACCTGCTATGACACCATTTATGCGTTCTAATAGAGCTATAAGTAAGGCTGATTCGATGAGGCAACAATATTGAAAGAGGTCGGTGTTGGCATATCACAAGTAATGAACTATTTAACGCAGTAGGCAGGGGGTTATCATAATGTTGGATTTACACATAAAGACCTCTACAATGCACTTCAAAGAGGTAAAGCAAAGGAAATCTACAATGGGGATGTGAATGCGCTTATTGCTTACTTTGATTATAAGAAACATGATGATCCCGGGTTTTTTATGGCATACTTGGTAGACGAATCTGGGGCATTGCATAGTCTTATTTGGTCGGATTGTACATCGAGATCAGATTACACATGCTTCGGTGATGTAATTGAGTTCGACACAATTTACAAAGATAATTTGTATGGTCGACCAATTATGCCTATTTTCGGTGTCAATTATCACCATAACACAATTGTGTTTGCTACTTCAATAATCGCTGACGAGATGTCCTAATCTTTCGAGTGGGTGCTAAATAATTTTTTAGAAGTCATGATGAATAAATTGCATATTTCAGTTGTAATCGATGGGGATAGGGCAATGCAGAGGGCTATAAAATATGTTATCCCTTCTGCTAAGCACAAATTATGGTCTTGGCATCTTTCTCCCAATACACAAGCTAACATTGGTGACCCAAAATTTACAGCAGCATTCTCAAAATGCATGGCTTCCTGGTGGACAACCGACGAATTTGATATTCATAGGCGTTTAGTTGTTTCATAATTCAATGTCGAAAAGCATCCATGGGTGATTGAGAAGGGAAATACTCGACACTTATGGGCACAAATATATCTAACCGGTTATTTATTTGCCAATATTCGCTCAACATAAAGGTGTGAGTCTATGAATACTTCACTCGCGATTTCACTGAAACACAAGAAGACATATTTAGATGTTGTTCGTGCAATTAAAGAAGGAATTAGTATAATGCGTATGAACGAGTTGAAAGTGAATTACTTAAGTTCCCAGACGAAGCCCTTCCAAATCATAAAACTAATTAACCTTGAAAGCTATGCTGCTGAGATTTATACGCACGAATCTTTTTGTTTGTTCCAAGAAGAACTTCAACGGGAGACATTGTATCGGATTTAGGAAGAGATTCATGCCTTATCAGATGAATGTCAAAATTATATTTTGACAAAGTACAAAGAAAAAAATAAGACATTTAAAATCAGTTTTGATTTCGGTGTGAAAACCCTAAATTACTCGTGTAGAAAATTTGAGACTATCAGACTTCCATGTCGCTATCAACTTCACGTTTTGAAGTACTTGGAATACACACATTTGCCTGGTCTTTGATTCAAAGTAGGTGGACTAAGGATATGAAGGCTTGTGCGCTCAGTTTTATTGACTTGAATGTGCATTCAGAAGTCATACAAATAGCAAGGTTCACTGCTCTATGTGCAACGTCAAGTCGGTTATGCTACATTGTATCAAAGACATATACATCTTTCAAAACCGCATGAGATGAGATGAAAAGACTAATAACATAATTTGAAAACTCATTTGGTTTGAATGATTCAATCAACCAGAGCAGTGTAGTAAATAACGTTCGTGACCCTCAACGAAAACAACGCAAGCAAAAAGAAGTACCAAAGAACAAAGTCGAGAAGAAAATTAGGCGATGTGGGTTCTACAACGGTGAGGGAGATAATAAACTAACACGTCCTCAAGTTAAACTCAGTTTGGAAACAAGTACACAACCTACATCAATTGATTTTTTCAAAGATGGAATAGAATGACCATTCAGTCCCCCATATGATGATAATTATGTTAGTGACATTTGGAATAATGTAGACAACGATCTCCATATATCGTAAGTATCAACATGTATAAGAAACATGTACAACAACCTATTGCTAACTTTTATCATCTCATACATAATTACTCATACTATGTATGAGAAACATGTACAACAATCTATTGCTAACTTTTTTCATCTCATACATAATTACATTCAGATACAAAATTATAAACCGAATACAAAATTTCCCTTACATTGACATCATCAAGCCCTTTTGTTATTCATGTGTGTGATGGTAGCTTTTGTCATCTTCTCTCTTAGTTTATTTTGATTGTGGCTTACGATATCATTTAATATTCGCGTACGATCCCATTCTCCAACAACCTATATTCAAATTGTCAGTACGTTAACTATTGTAAACCACAACATTCAATCTACGACTTTTAACAATTTAACCATAAACTAATTTTTCATTCCACTTACAAAATCACCAGTTGCCCCTCTAGAACCGATCGATTCCATCCGCATAATCACATAAATGTCGTAATCATATTTGTTACAAAATTTGAATACCACACATGTCAATTATGAAACCTGCATAAATTGCGCTTTCTATTTATGATAACATCTCATACCCATTCAATTGCTCATTCAACTTATGCTCCACAAATTTGAATTATTTCAATGGGACTTTAGACGATCACATGCTTCTACAAAAATGCGTTCTTTATTATAATTATCTAATATTGTCATCTGCATTAAAAAATATCAAGTTATGATCCAAATAAATTATGCATTTTAATTTTCATAATTTCCTTTCATACATACCAATCTCTTAGCATCATTCGCTCTCTGTTTGGCCGCTGGAGAAGAAAATAGACTATCATATACCGTTGTAACACGTTCTACCATATCCAACACCAACATATACCAATGAGAACCAGTGTAGGTTATTGTGATCAGGATCTGCAATAAATTTCACACCCAATTTGACAAAATTTAACATTATATATCCTAAAACATCATTTGCAATTCGTATGGTGTCTTACCTTGGCACACTCGGTGAATTTCACATAGTCATCCAATATCGACCCCCAAAAGCTCGCAACACCATCAACATTTGCGTAGTCCTCTAACATCTGTTGTTTCATTTACGCGACAATCATTATTAATTTACCGCCTATAACACTACTTTTCAACATTTATTATTTTAACTCACCGCTAAGTGGTATGGAATGTAGCCAATCTTCCCGAGTAACTTTTTCGATTCATAACATAATAACCAGCCGGCCAAATCAATAACCTAACAAAATTAATTACACAATCAGAACATATTCACTAGGTTTTAATATTTTTTAATTTCTACTTACCGCACCGCCAACCCTTTCCATAGGCTTCAACATTTCAATGTTGTTTACAGTAGCGAATTGATTTCCCATTACGATTACAACATATATGTATAAAGCATAAGGATTAATATTTTGTCATGAAATATTTAAATATCACTCACAAAGCAATATATTGCACTTACAATGATTCTAACCCACTATTCTATAAATAATCACACAATGCAGCTTCGAAATCACCAATTCCGCTTGGAATTTCTGTTTTTCAACCTACAATTTTGCATACAAATTTTTGTCACAACAGCATAATAAAAATCAAATTAAGTTTTATTTTATTCAGCTTACCTTCTGCTTCTTCTTGGGTGCAGGACATTCTGAATCCAAATCTGCATCTATAATACTCTCCGGTGTATAAATCATATCCACATCATTCCTCCTCACTTCCTCCATATTTTGTTCTTCATATTTTTTCAATTTATCATATTTTTCCTCTACATAACTTCATCGCATTTATTTCACCCTTCATTTTTCCCCTTCATCCAACTTTTTATCAACCACCCCTTCACCCCGTAAGTTCACTCCTCAATTCCATAACTTTCTTCACTACTCCATCAATTTTTCCACCCGTCACCATCTTAAGTTCACCCCTCAACACCTTAACTTCTTTCACCACTCCATCTATTTTTTCACCCACTTCCCCCTTACGCCTCTCAATTGTCTCTTCGACTCTTGATTGTTTTTGCAGAATATCAAAAAGGAATTTTTTTACATCCACCAATTCAGACATCAAAATGTCGAATTTACTCTGTTTTCCCTCACCGTCATCCCCCTACTACCATCTCTTCTTCATTATCCTCTTCCTCTACTACCTCCACTGCCTCCACTGCCTCCTCTACCTCCTTGCCAATAACCTTCAAAATTAAATTACAATATTAATAAATTGATTTTATTCTTAATATTATTTAATTACATTTATTACCCTTTCTTGCTTCGTCGGTCTATCCAACTTCAACTTCACCATCACTCTAACCACCTCTTCTTTCCCATATGCACGGATGCGTGCCACTCTGATTCTTTCATATGCTGCCACACTATTAACGTCCAACCAAAAATTGAACAGTGCAACCTGCATTTATAATTAAATTTATCATTTTTTATAATAACTATACTATCATTTTATATATAAAACAAAAACGTTCTTTAACTCATTTACCTATAAGATTGCAATGCACCCATTGAGGTATCTCTGAGAGCCCTTTTGAAAGCTGATTATTGATTCAATCAATCTTGAATGGACATATTCAACCCAATTGAATTCACCCCAATTGAATTCACCTTTCAAGCTTTCATCACAAATCAACTTCATATTGTCCTTTCTCGTTGATGTATCACCCATTGGACAAAGAAAGATCCCGACAAGGTACAATAGAACTCGGGCCTTCAAGTCACCCCTTGAAGATCCACTTTTGATTTCATTTTCAAGTTCAGCATATGTCACCTTGTACTTCAAATCATATTTGGAGGCAAGTGATTTCGAGATCTTATTCCTACTGACTTCTGCAACACTTTTTCCTTTATTTTCTGCCCCCAATACGGTTGAAGCACATGGGATCCCCATAGGAAATGAATAATCACCATATTTAACCATACATTATTGGGCATCAAATTACTCCACCAAGCATCGACACAATTCCCTCTGAATTGGTCGATCCCTCACTCTTATCAAAGATCCAAACCCCGTTTCTTTCAGCACATTCAATTGCCCATTCTCCTTAAGGTGTTCAATTAATGAATTCACTCCTTTTCTGCTGCACCTTGTCGACACTTCCTACATTTTTTAAAAATATATAATATTATTGTTCTTATATATCTTTTTTCAAAGTATTTACAAGTTTAATGAATACATTCTTTTCAAGTGCTTTCCTCCAAGCTTTGTATTCTTGTTTATCCATCTTTGACCGTGTGATGTAAGGTTCCTTCTTGGCGTAACTCATTGACTTCCATTTCTCCAACACATCATTTTTCACCTAATATTAAGCATAAACGTTTCTTAATCAATACATTAACGCTAAATAATACTGAATGTTAATTTCATTTTACATACCGAACCGATGTGATTATCAGATTCCTTCATCATTTGGCATTCGGTCGTACTGTCAATATTTAAAATTTGTTATCAATTTAAAGTTCTTAAATACTTTAATCCAATTACCATTTCAACAAATAACAAAAATACATTGATACTTACTAGAAGTACATATGTTCACCCTTTGGTTGCTTTCGACTCTCGGCCTCAATTTCAAAGTCATCTTCGCCACCAACAATTTCAAGATCCGTTGACTTCATTTTTCCTTCATATATCAGTTTACGCAAATCAAAATCAAATATTGGTTACATACACTTTATTCAATATGCAAATATCGATAACTAATCTTGTACTAAAACAATTTCATTCAAAAGAATTTGAATGGCCACTACTATAAGTAATGACACATTTATACAACCTACAATATCATTTTCTACCTATAATATTATATACAACTATCGATATTTATTTTCTACCTATAATATTATATAATCGATCTCAAATCCTTCTTGGTTTCGATTCAAAATCCTCAAGCTAAACCCAAAAACCCTAATCCATATTTCCTTCAAACGAATGAGAAAACTCAATACTCCAAGTATTGACACATTTATACAACCTATAATATCATTTTCTACCTATAATATTTAATAAGAGTTTCTATATTTATCATATACCTAGAATATCACTTTCTACCTGTAATCGGTCCCAAATGCTTCTTTACTTCGAAAACCCCAAACAACATATAATACCCCTATTTTCGATTACTGTAATAATAAAAAATTAGGGTTTTGACAACATACTTTTCGATTCGACTACAGTAACAAACAAACAAACTTTACTTTAAAAATGCCTTCTGAAATGTAGTAACAATTACGCTTCGATTTCTCAAAAACTCGGACGTGTTCTATCTATTTTCAGATGAAATTTAGCTATGCCCTTTATATTTTAACCGAATATGTTATTTATATTTAATCGATACAATTATCAAAGTGTCAATACTTTTATGTCAGGTGTTGATACTTTCGATAGGATATTTACCCATTTCTTTAAAAAGTATTGATAATATTTTACGCGTACTTATTAAAGTATCGACGCTTTCAACATATCCGATAGCGCTTTACCGGTTTTGTCATTTCGAGATCAGTTTTGTCATATTTTTACCTGTTATATTGTTATGGATCGATACATTTTTATAAAGTATCGATACTTTATAGGCGCTATTACTGCTTCTCTTTTAAATTCCAAAAGTGTCGATACTTATGTTAAAGTATCGACACTTTCAACATATCCGATAGCGCTTTACTGGTTTTTTCATAATGATACCTGTTTTGTCATATTTTTACCTGTTATATTGTTATGGATCGATACATTTTTATAAAGTATCGACACTTTATAGGTGCTATTACTGCTTCTCTTTTAAATTCCAAAAGTGTCGATACTTATATTAAAGTGTCGACACTTTCAACATATTCTGTAGATCTTTACCAGTTTTATCATAATGATACCTGTTTTGTCATATTTTTACATGTTATATTGTTATGGATCGATACATTTTTATAAAGTATCGACACTTTATAGGTTTTATTACTGCTTCTCTTATAATTTCCAAAAGTGTCGATACTTATATTAAAGTATCAACACTTTTAACATATCTGGTAGCGCTTTACCGGTTTTGTCATAATGATACTTGTTTTGTAATATTTTTACCTGTTATATTGTTATAGATCGATATATTTTTATAAAGTATCGACACTTTATAAGCGCTATTACTGCTTCTGTTTTAAATTCCAAAAGTGTTGATACTTATTTAAATGGTATCGACACATTCAACATATCCGGTAGTGATTTACCGGTTTTGTCATATTTTTACATGTTATAATGTTATGGAACGATACATTTTTATTTGTATCGACACTTTATTAGTGCTATTACTGCTTCTCTTTTAAATTCTAAAACTGTCGATACTAATTACAATCTAATCGATACTTTCAACATATCCGGTAGCGCTTTACCGGTTTTGTCATAACGAAACAAGTTTTGTCATATTTTTACCTATTATATTATGGATTGATACAATTTTATTTGTATCGACACATACCGACAAGCTAAGTTTGCGGGTTGCCTAATTTTTTAATATTTATTCATTATTTCCACCTACAATATTATTATTACTCAACATTTCCGGTAGCGCTAAACCGAATTTGTTAAATATCTTATAATGTATCTGGTAACATCGTATATTAGTCCGCCTTTCCTGAGACAGCCCCTATTAATATAGAAAAATTATCTGGTATTCAGTTGGTGTGAATTTTCATTTATATAAATTTATCTATTTTAATGTCATGTGTTTTATTTAGAGTTTGTTATTAGAGTTTTAAATTTTATTATATTTTTATTAAATAAGCGATGAATATAAGATAATATATGTTCAAAATCTTTATTACTAACTGATAATATACATACCCCCTAAAACATAATTGTTTGAATCAGAGACCTTTAAGAAGTATATTATTGTATATCACTCCCTTTTAATTTTTTTATAGAAGCAATTAATTTTATTCAAAATAGGAAATATCTCAAAATACAATGAAGATTTACAATCATAATTTAAGAATATAATTAGGACAATTTTCTATAATCATCGAAATAAAACTAGCAACTTAGAATCACATAATAACCATACAAGGAAAGATTACAAATCTAATTAAGAAACTCGAACAAAGATATAAATAAACACATCTAATAGTATAGGCAATGAACCACAAAAGGGCATCAAGCTATTAAAAGACCACTTACAACTCGCAAATCAGACTCAAGCAAAGTGAAAATCTATCCATGAACGCAAATCAGGTATCCACACCCAATCTTAGGGTCCAAAGTAGAGAATACCAATAAGATATCAGATAAGCACTATCTTGATCAGTTGTGATGATAACAAATTAACCCTTAAAAAAAGATAAATGAAAAAATGATCAAATGACCGAAAATGTAACACCTTACACCCCTCTAGTCTACCCTGGATATGACCCTCGAAATTCTTTGCATCAAAAACTATTCCCCTATTTAACCCATCATTTATTCTAATGAGTTTTAAGACCTCGACAAACATAGTTAGTCAAAAGGGCCTCGACCCTACCAAAGGATATTTGGATTGCATCTATATGGTCAACTTTGCTAGCTTTTTTAAAGGAACTCGGGTGTCCTGGTCGTTTTCCCGAGCATTCAAGCAATGCTAGTTTTATTTCTCATAACTTTAACTTGT